ATTCATTTGAATGGGGCAAGATTTTCAAAATAAAGCTAAATATTTAAAATGTATGAAGTTTAGAAAACTTCTGAATAGTAGTATGAATGTCCTTGAAGAGCTGAACATTTTGATAGCTGAAATAGCTGAAAGTTTGCTGAAGTAAAATTTTCCCATTTAGGAGGATGTGTCCATCAGGTAAGTGTGTGTGTGTGTGTGTGTGTGTGTGTGTGTGTGTGCTGCAGATGCAGCGGAGATATGTGTGTATGCAGTCAGCGACAGAGCCGCTTTGTCACACAAGCTAAAAACGGTTTATACTTATAACACTTTTCTTTCACAATCCAGCCAACGCTGATGCAGCTGTGTGCCGCCTGAAGTCAGAGTGTGCTACCTTAAACCAAAACGCACCTCATGACGACGTACCATCAACATCATCAACACTGGCATAGCCAGAACCTGCTGCGGCTTCCAAGGGTGCACCATTAATCACATTTGTATTTATATATTTATTTGTAATTAAATGCTTTATAAATGTCCTGTAATGTTTTATTTTCAGGCACTGACCCGTGGAAGCTTCTTGACAAAGATGCAGAAGATGCCAGAAAATCTCAGAACACTACTGCAGATGCCATTGTGGAGGTTCAGCGATATCTGTCTGCTCCTCCTCTGGACAGATCACAGGGCCCCTCAGGTTACTAGATGACGCACAAATCCCAGTACCCACACCTGTTCAACCTGGCCAAACAGTTCCTGGCAACACCAGCATCTTCTGTACCATGTGAAAGGGTCTTCAAAGCTGGGGAAGTTGTCTCAAAAAAGTGAAATTGCCTGAAACCATCAATTGTGGAGACACTATTATTTTTGAATAAAAATGCCTGAGTCACACAAGCACACCCAGTGTACACCAAGCACAATCAGAACACATAATATATTGTCAGAACATAATTACATCCACAGCCTCATTGAACCCTGTAAATATTTACTCTGTCCATTGTATAATTTGGGATGAATAATTATAAATCCATTTCATATTCTTAAGAGTTCTTGGGGAAGGAGGATTACTTAGTCAACATTTCATTTCAGATACTTTATAAGGCAAGGAAGAAAAACAGACACCTGTAAAATGAAGTTAGATTTCAGCTTTATTTAAGTAATGTCCACATTACAACAAAACTCATGCACACACAAGGTGCGTCAGCATCACCTTTGCAAGGCTGTACAACAACCACTGTGCCAGCAGGTGTCACCCATGTGCTCAACGAATGACACTTCGAGTAGTGAACCAGTTTTGGATACAATGGTCCAAAGGGGTTCAAAGCTTCATGAGGCCTCATATGGCCATCA